CTGTTGGGCATTTATTCCTACTTGTCATAGGTCATCTCCCAGTGCTTCCAGGAGCCCCAGCTTAGGCTGACTTTTCTCAGGCCAAGGCAAGAGGATATTTTCCTCTTAGATTAAATGAAAAATAAATGTACTTTCTCTCTGTTTTCTGCCCTGGAATGGTGATGGTATAAATGTGACTAAGAACTAGTTGTGTCCACTGGAAAATAAAACTAGTGCCAGAGGTCTGCTCGCCCAGGGCTGCAGAGTGAGGGCATCAGAGCTAGCTTAGCGGTTTTACTGGGGGCTGTCACGAGTCTGCACGGGAGGCTTTGCCAAATGTCTTGGCTTTGAATAAACTTCCTCGGGCACTCGCCAGGAGGTTGTTCCTTAACCACACAGTTTAGACTTGGAGTTCTTGCACTCAAAGTGCTAAAGCAGTCAAGTTTAAGGTCAAACTGAAGGACTCTCACGAGCCTGGTTCTCTGTCTTGGACTCTTTTGGAAAAGTCTCCAATAGTCTTCTCGAGCCGTTAGCATCAGTGGTTGGTCTCTACCAGATGCTCTTGGTAGAGAAGTGTCAAGAGAGTTGCACCTAGGCTAGAAGAGACCTGCAGGCTGGGGACAGCGTTGGCACAGGGGTGTGGAGGTCTTTCCTTGCCTGGAGTCTGTATGGAAGCAGTTTTCTCCTTGGCAGGCACTGTCTTGTTCCAGCTGGCAATGCAAAAGCCTGTGTTTATGTGCAGGCTGTGGCTATCGCTTCATCTTGACTCTCTGGACCGAGGGTGGGATGCAGATCGTATCTGCCACCCTTGTTTGGACTGGTTGTAGCCAGCCAGTGGTCGGTGTGTGGCCTTTGCTTCCAAAGGTAGCCGTGGTCCATTTGGAGAGGTGGAAAAGGAGCCAGGCTTGAGGGGAAGGCAGGGGGGGAAGAGCTACTGTACAACCTTTGCAGTTGTACCCAGCTACACGTGGTCCCTGGCACATACTGATCTCTTGCTCCAAACGGAGTGGCAAGGCTGCCTGCATAACTACAGCCACCCTTGCAGGCTGCAGACCTCTATTGAGAGGGTGCAGCTGCTGAGCAAGCACTGGGTGGGTGCTGTATAGTTGTGTCCCTCATGCCTAGATATCCTTTCCCATGTCCTTTTTGAGGCAGATATTCCTCCACTGCACTCAGGATAGATTCCTGCCTTGGAGAATAGCTGTCAAACTGTGGAGAAGGGAGGTAAGTGCTACCTCCCAGACCCTGGTGGTGTTTTTTGGAAAAATGGGTCCACAGACCTCTCCTAGATCTGAATGTGAATAACAAATGAGACTAGCAGGAGGCATGGAGTGATCTTTTTCACTAGATTCATTAGATATCTGTTGTTGGCTGCTGTGGGAGACAAGGCGATGAGCTGGAGGGACTCAGTGTGGTGGTTGTTACCGTCCATGAATTTCCCCAGTAGTGTTTATAGTTGGATCCTCTTTCAGTGCTGGAGATTTGAAATTGCCTGGTTTTGATTTTAAGCCGTTCAGGTTGCACGTGAACTCTGAGAAGGGCAAAGTTAATGACCTGAATCTCTTACCCAAGTTCCCTTTTCTGTGGATTTCAAGCAAAGTTCATTATCCATGTCCGCGTTCATTATCCATTACCCATGAAAGCTCTACAGACTGATGCTCTGTGCTTACCTGCACTGAAGCAGCAGTAAGGAGAAATTTTCCACCTCCTGGAGGTAATGCTCCTTTTATGCGTAGTGCTCACCTAGCAGAGGCCATTTGCACTGTGTAGTAGTAAATATTTACAAAACACATTAATCTGGGTGCTCCCCTGGCACAGAGGCTAGGAGTTTCCATGTGTTCCTGGTCCACTTTTAGTCCTGGAGTTGTTGTGGCAAGGCAGAGATTTGTGAAGTCTCAGTGTCCTTTTTTTTTTTTTTCTTCTCTTTTATGTGGTTCTGATAGCAAGTGTGGGTCTGGGGAGATGTATCACATGGTGGCTTCTTCTGAGAACATTTTTGCTGAGCAGCACTCCAGGCCTCATGCTCTGCAATCTTGTCTCCTTTTGGGAGTTACAGGTGTCTTCCCGGTGGAAGATGGTGTCTCCACGTAAGATCACATTTCCAGGTGGCAACGTAGCTGTGTCTAGCCCTTATATGTTTTATACAGTTCTCCAACTGGGGTAGAGAGCAAGCAGCTGCAGGGTAGAAAAGAGAATTACAGAGAAGAACTAGTTCGTTTTGCAGACATCTTTCCTAAACACTCAACTTAACCAAGCAGCACTTAGTGAGCTGAAGTCCTGTAGCTAAGCTTGTGTGGCTTGGCATGCCGCAGCAGGGTCAGGAAACCATGTAAGACTATGGTAAGTCTAGAGTTAGACCACTCAAAGGAGCAAAACAGGCATCCATTAGCTTTAACCATGGTATATGGGGATCTTGCCTGCAATAGGCTTGCCCAGTCGCATGACCAGCCTGTCTCCATCTCTGGGGGAAACGCTGTCCCGGGTGTGTGATGTGTTTAAAAACTCTCTGTCAGCACTCCTGCTTGCCTGAGTGGCCTAGGGGCGGTAAGTGCAACAATATACAAGCGTTCCCCTGCCCTTTCTCTTCCAGGCGTACCTGGAGTCCTTCTACAAGTTCTGCAAGGCGCTGGGGGGTACCACGGCAGATGCTATGTGCCCAATCTTGGAGGTAGGTCTGGGATCCCTTGTACAGGCTGTGTTGCAGTGACGTTCATTGCTCTGGGCCAGTCTGTCAGTAGGAAGGATGCCCAAGATGTTCTTCAGTAGCCACATGCATTTTCCCAGTCTGTTCAAAAGGAGATCTTGTCTGCTCTGCCTGAGCATGACCTTGTGTGCCATGGTGGCCCAGGCCTGGTCCTGCTAGCTGCTTATAAGTCAGTTGCCTTTGCGTGCTCATCCTCTCACATGGATGAGGAGACATGGCAAGTCTCCATGGTAGGGCCAGCTGTGGGCATGCAGGGCTCAGGGGCAGCAGCCAAAGGAGACGTAATGTTTTTTGACCCAGACAGGGTGCTGCTCAGTGACCTGCCTTGTGCCTGAGGTGGGAACTTCTTCCCCTGGCTAGAGCCCAGGCATCAGCTACTGATCATTCTGGGGGCCTATGCAGGTAGCTTTCTCTGCTGAGCACAGGATAGCTGTATGCTTCCTAGATGATGAGCCTGACTTGCTCACACTGCCTTCTGATTTCTCTCTGCTCAGAGCAGTGTCAGTAACTGCCAGCTTCTGGCAGAGTCACTGCTTCTCAAGGTGAAATGGTCTTCTCTTGCAGTTCGAAGCTGATCGGAGGGCCTTCATTATCACCATTAACTCATTTGGTACTGAGCTCTCCAAGGAAGACCGAGCAAAGCTCTTCCCTCACTGTGGCAAGCTCTACCCCGAGGGCCTGGCTCAGCTGGCCAGAGCAGATGACTATGAACAAGTCAAAAATGTTGCTGACTACTATCCTGTAAGTATCTCAGGTTGAGGGCCAGGAGCACTGGTACAAGAAGCTGCTCCAAATTGGATATCCTAGGGACTTATGGGGGAATTTGTGGACTGACAAACAGGGTGGAGGGTGCCAATTGTCAACTGACAAATACTATTACTACTGTGCCATGTTTGGCCAAAATGGAGGTGGTCTTGCCTGGCCTCTGAGTGCTTGGGGTGCTGTTGACTTGCCAGTCACCACTGTGTTGGCAATAGTGAGGACCCTGTTCTAGACTCCCCATTCCAGGGTGGTGGGCCTGCACTCACCCCATGCCCATGAGATAGCAGTGTGGCCCAGGAATGCTGCCAGTACTGGAAGGTTTGGGGATTTGGGTACATCCTTCTTATGATGTCTTCCTGCAGGAGTACAAGCTGCTATTTGAAGGTGCTGGCAGCAACCCTGGAGACAAGACCCTTGAAGACAGGTTCTTTGAACATGAGGTGAGTGAACACCTGAAGCACTTCATGGCACACGTCTGCCTGTGCTGTCTGCAAGGCTCCAGAGCATGAGTGCTGTGGTTGCACAGAGGTCAACCACAAGGAAGGAAGAGCCCTCTGCTCCAGTGAGCCCTCCTGATGACTGTGACCCCAAGTCAGGTGCTCAAACCATGTTGTCTTCCCCAAGCAGTTTAGAGCAGTGCGAGAGGCAGATTTGGGCTGTTGATGGGTGTTTGCTCTGTAGAGAGCAAAAACAGAGAGTCATTACTTGGGAAAGGAGACAGAGGGAGGATCATCACAGCACAGCGGGGTATAAGTGCTTCTCCTTTGAACATCAGAGCCTGTCCTGTCTGAGCCATGTGCTGTAGGTTAGAGCTAGTGCAGAGAGTTAGCTGTGCCTGAGACCTCTAGGGAAGTCATGGAGCTTCCAAACTGCTCCACACTTGGGTTGTCTGTCTCCTGTAAGAGGAGAGTTTAGCAGAAGTACCCAAGTGATGTTTCTTCCTCCCGGCTTTTCCCAGGTGAAGTTGAACAAGCTTGCTTTCCTCAACCAGTTTCATTTTGGAGTCTTCTATGCCTTTGTGAAGCTGAAGGAGCAAGAGTGCCGCAACATTGTGTGGATTGCAGAGTGCATCGCTCAGCGGCACAGGACCAAGATAGACAACTACATTCCTATCTTCTAACCCTTCCTTGTTCTCCTATGACCCGCCTGCCCCTGGAGTCCAGAGTGACCCTTGTCCATCTTCTACATGCTCCCTGAGTTATCCCTTGCCCAGACTCCAGGGATGTCTCATCTGTAGAACTGGCTCCGATGGGAAACTGTACAGTTACTAGTTAAATTATTCACAAGCTGAAGCTGTTTGAGTTGTGTGTGCTGTGGGCGGTCCAGAGGGCCCAGTGGCTCAGGCTTGGCCCTGTGCGGCTGTGTGTCAGGAGGGTCCCCGTTGTGTAGCTAGTAGTACCTGTGTCTGCTGTACGCGCTTACGCTCGCAGAGCAAGCACCAGCCAGCGGCTGCTGCCTCCACGTGGTTCCCCCTGCAGAAGGACACCCTGGCTCTGCGATGCCCATGTGTCCTCTCTATCAGCACTCTGAGAACGCCTCCTGGTCAGTGTTGTCCCCGTGAGGCTTGGTCCGAGTGTGCATTATAGTATAGCCAGTGCTGCTGTGTAATCCCTGCAACCCCCCTAGCATCCCCTGGCTGGAACTGGGACAGCTCCTAAGGGAAGGCAAGAGCCAGAGCAGAGCAGTGAGCTCCTTCCCTCTCCATCTGCACTAGTGTGGACCCCGGTAGGCCCTCAGAAGCAGCACTAGTTTTCCTCCTGGCCTGGAGCTTGGAGAAGATGCACAGCCTGTCTAAGCTCCTTCCCCCTCCATGTGCCCCTGGCTTGGAGCTTGCCTGGAGTCCCCAGTGTCCTGCATGACGCCCACGCAGGAAGTGGGGCTACTTCTGGCCGGGGTGGTTGCTGCGTTATGATGGAGTGTCTGCACTGACTTAGGGACGGTGTCTAGGCTGGGGCAGTCTCCCCACCCGACCTGGGGCGTCCAGCTGCCACCTTCCCTTAGCAGCATGGGCAAGCCTGGCTGTTCTGCACATCAGCCCTTGGACTCTGGCTCCACTTGGTCACTGTGGTCAGTACAGAAGGGGTCTTGGCAGAGGGGTCTCCTGTCCTGCACAGGCCCTGCCCCTTCATGGCCTGTATTTAGGAGGTGGGAGCCAAGCCAGAGACACGGTGTGGCAGCCCAGCTCCCTGCCTGACAAGTGACATGGCTGGTTCCCACTTGTGCTCGAGGTTATTTGGTCCTGCTGGGAGATGCCCGGTGTCAGTGTGGCAGCAAAGAAGCTTTGCTGATGGGGAAACGTGTGTGCTCTGCACTGTGACGGGCAAGGGATGAGGGGTAAGAGCAGCCCTGTCCCAGCCCGTGCTGTGTTTGTTATCCTGGCCATCCTCCCATCCTTTTTGCACCAATAAATATCTGCTGCCTGCACTGTGCTCTCCCTGCTTACTTGACTCTTAGGTCTATTTGAGCAGGTGCCTGGTGCAGCCCCGGGGCTGGGGTTGGAGGCATCAGCTGGGGCTTGCTCGTGGTCACTCTGGCTCCACCACTTCTGGGTAATTTTGGGCATGCACTATGTCCTTCAGGCAGCCTTCAGCTACACCGGCAAGGGCATCATCTCCCTGGTTAAGTGTGGGTTGCAGCTACTGTTCTTATTACCCAGAGTATGTGGATGTTTGTAGAGGATCCCGGCATGACTCCTGCCTGTTCCTGCTCTTGCCAGGGCTAGACAAGGCAGAGCTGTTGTTGCCAGCACAGCTCAAGCAGCACGCAGTGCCCAGGACTAGGTCTGTGGGTGCCCTTGGATGCAGGTAGGTGCTTGAGAGGAGATGCAGCTCTTGCTGCCCCTGCTTGCCTAAGAGGCTGCATGAGAGCGAACCATACAGCTCCGGAGCTTGGGGCTGAGTGGCAGATTCCCACTAATATCCCCTTGACTAGATATCCATCTTCTGGTACTGCTTGTGGCATGTGGGATCCTGCTATTCCACGCGAGGCTGTTACTGCTCAGTGCAAAGCTCAGCTCACTGCATGGCCAGGGACCAGCTCTGTTCTCCTGCCTCTATGGCAGGGCCTCCCTGAGCGAGTACCCCGTCACTGTGCCACCAAAGGCAACTGCAAGACCACGTGGCATATTAAGAATAGATTTATTTTTAGAGTGATAATCACATAGTCCATTTGATGAAGAGCTCTGCAGCCCAGCCTGGCCCCCTGCTGTCCCAGGGAGCACGTGGAGTGTATAATGAGCTGCGCCGAGGCCAGTGCAGGGGCTGGCACGGCACCAGGCAGAGGGTCAGGGGCTTGACTCAGCCGAGGGACAACGGAGATGAGCGCCCGCAGCTCCAGCAGGGGCAAGGAAAATGTCACGTAGCTGCGAAACACCTGAGGTCCATCACAGCGCTCATGCCAAAGCCCGAAGCATCGGGCAGGAGGGGCTCTGTTGCAGGATGCGCGATTCGGAAACACAAAAAATACAAAAACGAGGCTTCTAGAAAATGCTGATTCTCACACATAGAAAATAGATCTGCCTGATTTTGGGAAGCAATTTGGTTTTGTATCTAGTGCTGATCAGTCCTGGGTGTGCCGGGGCTGTGTGCACGCTCGGGGACTAGCTACCGTGGTGCTAAGAGGAGAAGGTTCTTTCCTGCCCCGCAGTTGCACACAGGCCGCAGTCAGGCCTTCTTCATGTTGTTGTGGCGGTCTTGCCGCAGCGCTCGGGGCAGCTTGGGGTTGATGAAGAATCCTTTGAGGAACAAGTCTAGGACAAAGTAGGGCAGGTAGCGGTGTATAAAATACATGAGCCCGAGGCCCTGCCCCGGGTAGTAGCGCACAGCTGGGTTGGCAGCGAGGAGCCCATCCGTGATGCTGTCCACCACTGCACTGAGGTCCTCCACCGCCACCTTCATGAACTGGATGAACTGCCGGTTGATCTCCTCCACGTAGTCCTCGCCGTAGGCCTGCAGCAGCTCCTGGGGCAGGCTGGCCACCAGCTGCTCCTTGCGCAGGTTCCAGAACGCTGGATCACACGTTGTCCCTGCAGGGTCGGAGAGGCGCTGGTGAGCTCCGGCAGCCCTTGCTCCTGCCCTATGCCCACCAGCACTTGCCCAACAGTGCCTCTTGCCCTGTCCCAATGGGTCCTATGTCTGTCCTGCCTGGGTTTAGCCAGCTGCTGTGGTTGAGGAGCTGGTGGCAGGGCCTGATGGACCTTCTGCCCCACACACCACTCTGCGAGCGGGGCTGACCCTCTTACCTGTTCGGTAGTAGCCGGGCAGGATGAGGCTCACTTTGATGCCCCAGGGCTGCAGCTCGCTGCGGAAGGTATCCATGAGCAGGCTGAGTGCTGCCTTGGATGCACCGTAGGCCGCCAGGCAGGGAAAGGGCAGGTCCCCTTGGAGGAGAGAAAGTGCAAGAGAGTGGGGTGGCAAGCGGCTCTGAACACGGCCAGGCCAGCTGTGTCATCCCTGCCCTCAGCTCCTGGTAGCAGCCTGGTGGGATGCAGCAATGGCTGCCTCAAGATCCCCAGCTAGTGTGGGATGGGGAAGAGGCTGAAGCACTCAGAGCTGTGCCCTAGTGTGAGGGCGTCGTGCAAGGATGCTCAGCACGCATCCCTGCCACGTGTCCTGAGTGCTGTCTACCAAGCAGAGGGCTGGCGTGTCCATGTGGGGAACTTGGTGGGCACCCGAGACAGTGGTGATGGGTGACAGGGGTCTGGCCCCGCACCTACGTGGGCTTCATGCTGGGGACAGAGCTGCTCACCTGCAGGGCTGCTCACGGTGACGATGCGGCCGCCGGCAGAGCGGAGCAGGGGCAGCAGCACCTTGGTGAGCTCCAGGGAGCCAAAGAAGTTCACCTCCATGCAGGTGCGGAACTTGCCCAGTGGCGAGAGCTCAGCATCCGCGATGGTGTCGTTGAAGCCCGCGTTGTTCACCAGGCCCCAGAGCCCTGTGGGGAGGGAAGGCTTAAAGCGACAACGCCAGCGGGAACCCAGGGCTCCCAGCTGCTGCCCCTGCCCGTGGTGGCACTTCCAGGGGGGCTATGAGGTACCTGGAGGAGGTTGTAGGCAAGGGGACCTGCAACCCATGGAGCAGGGCTGGAGGCCGGGTCCAGCCATGCCAGATGTGGCTTCTCAGGGCCAGGCCGGGTCCCCGTGCTCCTACCTGTGCTGTTGGTATGAGCCTGGATGTGCTTCAGGACACGCTGGATGTCTTCTGGCTTGGTCAGGTCCATCTGCAGCAGTGTGAGCCTCTGTGAGCAGCTCTTCTGCAGCTCCTGGGCCCCGGCGCTTTGCAGGTCCAGCACGCTGGCAAACACCCGGAATCCCAGTGCATCCAAGTGCCGCGCGGTCGCCTGGCCAAAGCCAGAGTCACAGCCTGCGGGGGTCGAGAGGAGCCCTGCAATGGTCAGGGTGGCTGCCCTGGCCTCCATGGCTCCTAGTCCAAGAACCCCCAGCCCTCGGGCTTTCTATCTACCTTCCTGGGGTTTATGCCAAAGGGACCTCCCTGCCTTATCCCCCTGGAGAAGCCTGGCTGCCTCAGATCCCCTGAGCCCACCAGGGTGAGCCAAGCAGCCATGCCAGGCTCGCTGCCTTGGGCCTCCCGCTTGCGCAGGCCCTCCTCCTGTCTCCTGCCTCCCAGGAGGATGTGACCTTGGCCTAGGGTGTTCGCAGGTCACCTCACCACTGTTTTCTACCTCCCACCGCAGGAAGAAAACACATTATCTGCAGCCGCATCAGCCGGAGCCCGGCTCCGATGCGAGCTGCCGG